ATTATTTCCGGTTCAGATACACTTATCTTTCTGGAGAAAACCTATGCCTGGATTTTTATGGCATTGAATTGAACCTGGTTAATTTAATCCCAATTCGAAATTACTTCTTGATCTCATCAAGATATACAACCTCCTGCTACCAGTGAAGATGTGCATCCGCAGCCCATATCCTGGAATCCAAATGGAATGACGTGACAAATGTGGTGTCGTCAGCAAAACAATATATTGGATTCTTGAGATATCCATTCGAGAGCCATCGAGAGATATGCATCGACGCGACGGTATCTTGCAGGGAACGTTCTTTATCAGGAAGCTGGAGAGCCATACACAAAAATGATCCGACAAGCCATAACATCGAAGCTTGGTCATAAAAACCCCCCTGCCACACACGGTCGTAGGCCTTAGACATATCAAGCGCAATAGCTCTTCATGTTCCTCAATTGCGTTATTCCAAATATGTGTGACATATGATAGAAGGTCGAATGTTGATCTTCATTTCCAAAAGCTATATAGATGATCGCTCAAGATGCTAATGCCTTCCAAATATTTAAGGATATCGTAGTTTACGGCTCTTTCCATGATTTGTGATATCACTGCGACAGGTCTGTAGTTTTTTGGAAGATTTTTATTGCCTTTTTTGGGAATAGGCTGAACTCGAGCCATCTTCCAGCAAAAAGGAAAAACTTCTTCCTTGTAAGATAGGTTGAAGAGTCTGCAAAATACTGTTGTGAGATCATTTGCGCACTGTTTGAGTACGATGACGGGTATACCACCCAGTTGGTTGGCAGCAAGGGTGGTATATATACCTGAAGTGAGCCGGAGAGTCCCACACTCCAAATCGGTACGATCAATCAGCCTTATATTCTTCCTGCTGAAAGGAATTGAGAGGATACAGGACGGACATATCAGTAGGGTAGCATTATCTGCATCCCCCTGAGCCCTGAATAACCACCAGTATGCTTATCCAACCGACAAATCGACATATTCAGCATTAAACAACCTCGTTGAGAAAATCTCCCAATCCCTTGATCACAAGGAGATTGCGGTCGCTACATTTCTTGATATTGAAGGAGCATTTGACAATGCACTACTTTAATCTATAGGATCGTCTTTGGCTAGGAAGGGTATAGAATCGACCATAACTGGCTGGATCTATGCCATGCTAGTAAACAGAACTGCAACTACGACTCTTCAAGGTGAGGCTATCAGGTTCAGGGTCACCATGGGCTGCCCTCAAGGTGGGGTACTATCTCCCCTTCTATGGTCACTCCTAGTGGATAGTCTGCTTGATGCCCTCGACAAAAAAAAAGTCGATCTGCAAACTTATGCAGATGACCTTGTCATCATGGCAAGATCCACGTCGGGAAGGGTAGCTTGTAATATCCTCCATAGCGCGTTGGACGTTGTTCACAGTTGATGCTTGAGGGAGCAGATGTCTGTCAACCCCATCAAAACTGTGTTAATCTCCTTCACCAAGAGGAGAAAATTGGACGATCTAACGCCACTTTCCCTCAATGGTGTGTCCATTCCATTTGGAACGGAGATGGAATGTCTTGGCATTGTCCTTGATAAAAGACTCATCTAGAACGCTCACTTGGAAAAAGTTTCACACAAAGCCAGATTGTCTCTATGGACATATCGAAGGATTTGTGGTGAAACTTGGAGTTTGGGTCCCAAACAAATCCATTGGATTTATGTGATGATTGTCAGACCAATGATCCCTTATGGTGCAATTGCTTGGTGGCCGAAGGCTTTACAGAAAACGGCCCAAGCGAAGCTCTATGGATCACACACATTTTTCTGGAGAGAGAGGCTAGATGGACTGCATATAGACTTGTGCACATTGCCAATTGCACAAATCAATTCAACGCAGAGTGCAACAGACTGTTGGTTGACATCGTAAGTCACAGCATTCTGGAAATGACCTCTGACTTTATGCCTCCAACTGTCAACTACGAACTGCCTTATAAAGTACTATTCCCGAGTAGAGAGGACTGGACCCTCCGGAAGAAGGAAATATTAAGAGCAGATAGTTGTTGGTTCACAGATAGATCCAAAAAACACCTTCCGGTTCTGGTGCAGGTGTTTTCAGTCGCAAACCCAGGACAGAGTTATCTACCTGCCTAGGAACTTATGTGACTGTGTTTCAAGCGGAAATTTACGCTATTGAATTGTGTGCGGAGAGATTGGATAAATCCAATTCACAATTCACTCCACTCACAATTCAATAAAAATATTCTCGGACAGTCAAGCGGCGTTGGAAGCTCTTGGCTCCTACCGAGCAACGTCTAAATTGGTAGCAAATTGCCAAAAACGACTCTCCTCGATAGGAAGACTTAACAGATTGTCTTTGGTCTGGATTCCTGACCATACTGGCCTGGAAGGCAAGGAAGCTGCTGACTCTCTTACAAAGGAGGGTGCTGCAAGCGGCTTCATCTGACCAGAACCTGTCATTGGCATCGTTTTGGGCTTTGCCAAACAAACACTGAACACCTGGATGGCAAAAAGATTTATGGACTGCTGGCAGAATCTTCCAGGATTGACTCACTCCAAGGCGTTTATTCACCATTCGAAGCTTTATACCAAACAATTGTTTTACTACAGTAGGGATGAACTACGATGTCTAACAGGCCTTCCTACAGGTCACTGTCATTTGAATCATCGTATGCAGAGACTTGGACTGTCGGAAGACGATGTGTGTCGCCTCTGTCTGGAAAATGATGAAACAGCAGAGCATTTACTTTGTGCCTGCCCCGCTGGGGACCGAATCAGGTTTTTAGAGTTCGGCAGAGCCGTACTCTTACCATCTGACCTGAAAGACCACTCACCATACAAACTAATCGGCTTCGTTAAGAAGCTACGTTTATTTGGCGAGTGTGAATAGATGTAAGCCGCAATAAACCCTTGTGGGTTGCGGTGAAGAGTCGAATAGACTCCACTCACTTCAGACCTACCTACCTACCTACCTACCAACGATGACGGGTACTTCATCAGGACCAGACGCCTTGTTGATATTGAGCTGTTTCAAAATTTGCCTCAATAGACGTTATCGAACAATAATTTTCAACCGACCAGAAGAATCTAGACCCGTTGGAGTTGGCAAGTAGTTTATCCCTAATTCTCTGATTGTGAAGTTTTTTGCTTTCATTCATTCTAGATTTGCGGCTGTTGCGAGCATCAACAAACCTAGTTCGGTTTTCGACACTGAAAAAGGAATATATGCATCCATGGATGATAGACTTACTTCCGTGACTTCAGAATCACAAGTCGATGGATTGAATAATATGTGCAATCAATGCCGTTGTTCGTCTTTCTGAAACTTCGTATTTCAATTCATTTCACTACACAAAAGTTTGTCTCACACTGCACTGTTGGTATTTGCACTAGGAAATTAGTATTGCAACTGATAGTTTGTAAAATTATGAATGTGAAAATCTATGGTAACACTGTGCAGAAGCTGCAGGTTTTAATGCCTGATATTTTGTCTATTGCGGTAGACATTACTAAAAGCGATGTGGTTACGATTGCAGCGCCCGAGTCGGTGCTCGTGTTGTTCCCGTTGTTCCGAACACAATAACTAGGATGCTGTTGTTTGGCTCTGGTTTTATGTTATTTTCAGTGGGCGTGGCTGGTAACATTGTCTACTGTTTTTTTCATTATTAACAACCCGTAAGCAATGTTTCAGTTGAAAATAACAGTTTTCAATCCCTAATAAGCGATAGTTTCAAGTATTAGACATTATCAACAACACATCTGTTTCACCACAGTGGCAGTTTCAATATATTTGACACCTGCTCTTCAAACTTTTCTATGAATTTTCCTTTTATCTTCTCTCTGAATATATTGCTTTTCTCCAACTCTTTCTTGTTCATTTCCGTAATTGATTATTTGAGAACGTGGTAATTAAATAAATCATCACTGATCTATAAAATGTATCTCTACGACCCACATTCGACGAAACAAGTGTTTCACATAATGTAGCTTTCAACTCGACTGAAGGAAATGTTTCTGTCTATAAATAATCGCAACAATCCTAACGGTTGTGAAACGCTGACAATGTCATAATATCCTCCAAGCACTATTCAGAAGTTGAAAAGTTCGAAAAAGTCGAAACAACTGATTTTTCACTTGCAAATACCATGGACCAAACGTGAACCGAATATTTGTTTTATTTCTATACCTCAAAATTAATTATGTTACCTATCTTTGGTCGGTAGACCCGACAGCGGTTTCAATTCAATTTCGAACGAAATTGGATACTGATAATGTGAATACTTTGATTCTGCTAGCTCATAAATCTCATCTGTTCATCTTTTTGTTCGTTTATGAAGTGCTAACTTCTTATGGGATGCTAAACCGCTTCGTTATCCAACGCGTAACGGCGCAAGATTGTCTGGCTTTCCTTTCTCTCACGTATACGTCAGCGGAAGGCAGGCTCCTCCTCTCTCATCGGACAAACACTCAGTGTTTAATGTGCGTTAGACATATACTGTTGGCAGTATTTTAAATAAAAATCTAACCAGCAAGCACGTAATATTATTTTATTATGTGAAACGTGGCTTAAAAATTATGATACTAATTTTGTGTATGTACATTATCAGTATCATTATTCAATCCTACAAAAGTAACAATTGGCTTATGGTAGCTATAATATATGTACATACAGAACATAATCAATACATTATTTTATTAATAAATAACCTTTCCTTACATTTTCACATTGATATACATAAAATTTAAGTAGTAACCCAAGATTTCCTGAAGTTAAACAATTTCAATATTAAGTAGTTCAACTAAGATTAGTTTAAGTTATCACTCTTGTCGGTCGTTCCGCGACGCACGCGTTTTTTCATAAGTTTTTAGTTTTTCCCATTGACGGTAAATTTGCCTGAATAGCAATAATTTTGATGTAATTTATCAAACAATTTCTCAATTAATCATTTACGACAAAAACTTGTGACGATTTCGCAGTATGATAATATTTTCTATTCTTCCATTAGGACGAAACGATGGACCCGAGCGTGACGGAAACCTACATGGGGGAATGGAAAAACGACAAGCGATCTGGTTACGGCATAAGCGAACGATCGGACGGCCTCAAATACGAGGGAGAATGGTACGCAAATAAAAAATACGGCTACGGCGTAACAACTTTCAGTAACGGCGAGAAAGAAGAGGGCAAATACAAGAACAACGTACTGATAACGAGTCAGAAGAAAAAGATATTTCTGATGAGGAGCGCCAAGTTTCGAGAACGAATAGACGCGGCTGTCAACGCGGCGCAAAGAGCTTCGAAGATCGCCCTGCAAAAGTCCGACATAGCCATCAATCGGACGGCTACGGCTAGAGGAAAGGGGGAGCAGGCAGACATCGCCGCTGCTCACGCCAAAGAGGACTCAGATATTGCCGAAACTGTTGCCAAACAATACGCCCCGGACTTCAAACAGCCCGGGCTCGAACGACTCAAAGCGAGACAGAACAAGTTCAGAGAAATGCAGATGCAAAGCCATAGCATAGACTTGGAACAGAAACCAAATATTAATTCAATCAACCAACTTCCCAACAAAATGCCCAATCAGATTCCGAACCAGATCCCCAACAAATCCAACCAATTGCCTAACCAAATGCCCAACCAACTTCCTAACCAGCTTCCCAACCAACTTCCCAACCAACTTCCCAACCAACTTCCCAACCAACTTCCCAACCAACTTCCCAACCAACTACCTAAGCAAATTCCCAACCAAATACCCAATCAAAACCCTAACCAGTACCTTCAGAATAACCCCTACACGCAACAGCAACAACATAACGAAGCTGGACTGTCTGGCAACAAAGCAAACAACCCCTATGGCAACCCCTCGCCTAACCCTTACAACAACCCCAATAACCCCAGTAATCTCAACAACCCTTCCATGCAGCCACACATAAATGATTATAGACCGAAGTTGGGCAACAACCCTTTGGAAAACAACCCCGGGAACGAGTACAACTCATCGATGCAGAAGCCAAGGAATTCCATTGCTACCGAAGACATTCAGAGTAATTCGCTTAGGAGGATGTCCAGGAGGGTTTCGGGCGATAGGCCTTATCTAGGGAATATAGGACAACAATCTTCCATTGATCATTTCGACCACTACAAGAGGCCGCCAAGTAGGGATTCCAGTGTGGATAGGTAGGCAAAGTTTCAAGTAGTGTTTCATACTGAAACGGTATGCCAGTTGTTGTGAACGACTCGCGGGGTTTCATTAGGCAACACATTCAACAAAGGCTCAAAAATGACTACCTGAAAACAGTTATGTCTACTTCAATATTCCTTAATAGTTACTTCATTTGTATCACTGATTTATTGCACTAGCCGATAATTGGATCAAGACTGATTGCTGTCCTCAAATCATACAGCGATAGAAGGATTGCAAATGGCTTTTGAAGCTTTTCAGTACACTCTCGACTTTTCTCACACTCTGAATTATCCATCCGTCGAAATGTTCAGTAAAATCCCCATCACCATCCTGTAAATCATACATTATCGAAATTCGATAGGCAGACGCATTAACTTGAGGACTGATTCGATGTTCGAATGAATAACAAACTTCAATTGCTGATTCAACTCATTCTAGTTGTCAGCAGTAAATTGAGTTGATTTCAAGAAGGATTTGTTTTGAGGTTTCGTTTCGTCTTTTTCAGGAAGATATATTGTCCAAAATATACTATTGCTTTACGAGCTGATACCATTTTTTTCTATATTTCAGGACAAGCATTCCATCAATCTTATTTTCTATATAAGTTTGTATAGGACAGGACCTCTGTTATTCGGAAATAACTTGGATTGTCCAATAAATTTCAGCCTGCTGGGAACCAATTCTTCAGTTTTTTGAAGTTGTATTTTCCAGTACTCTGTATGTTTCTCCTTGACCCTCTTTCTGATTTTATTCAATTCCCAAGATGTTGGTATATCCATAGCTAGTTCAGTTCCTATACATGGAGTTGATGTTCAGTAATGACTTTGCACACTCATCAGCTTCCTCATTGCCTGTGAGTCCTGAGTGTTCCTTAAAAATTCTCGTTCGTAGGTATATTATAAAAATCACACACTAATGTATGCTGCAGAATCAGCAGCTTGTAGTATTTTACGTATTATAATCGTTAAAGGGAAGAAACAGCAAGAATCACAGAACACTGCATTGAGATACTCCATATTTTATTGGGGATTGTTTACTGAATTTGCTATCGTGAATTGTATACGATTTGTCATTGAGGATTACATCAAATCAAGAGATCTAATCAAATCCATAGTTTTTCTAGTGAAATATTTTATGGTATATAATCAAAAGCTTCACTCAGATCAATAAATACTGCCAAGGTTTCTTCCTTATGTTCGTTTCCTTCTCCTATGCAATTATTTTTTAGCGACTTTACTGGGAATCAATGCAATTGGTCTATGATTTGATAATTATCTATTTTCTGATTAGAATACTGATATCACTCCCAATTTTTGGTTCATCTGAAAGTATGCCATTTCAGTACATGACTCATTAATGTACTAATGACTAAATTTTTTATACGTACCGACTGAGTGGTTTTTTTATCAGTTGGGTAGAAATTGTTCAATTGTTTCATTATACCAGATATTTCTGCTTCTATTGTTGAATGAATAGAAAGTCTTCCTTTTCCGTGGAAGAATTACCTATATGAATCAAAAGATGAGTTTTTGAAGATGAAATTCCATTGATTACTTCATTTACAATATTCTCAAAATGATTGGTAAATTCTTCGATGGATATCGTCTAAGTTGTCTTTTTCAGATTTCCTTCCTGTATTAGTGTTGAAATACTGTATTAGGGTTGTCTTCTTTTTCGCACTAATAGTAGTTGTTGATATTCATATTTTTTCAGTTTCGACTGTTTTTCAATTCTTTATTATTTGGTGATTCTATTAAATCATTGAAGATGGTAATTACTGCCCTGTCTTTTGTCTACCGACCAGATACTTGTTGTATACCCCTCTGCACTTTCCAGGTACTCCAGAGCAACTGGCCGTCTGAGCAACGCCATGAACTCCAGGCAACCCTCGGTGGACAGAACCTCCGTGAACCGGCCTTCCGAAACTCCCGATCGGACGCTGCGAGCCCCCTCTGCCATTCGGGGCACCACTCCCGGACCGCCTTCCAGCAACGTGGGTGCCAAAAACGGATCCGTCGTGACAGGAAACGCCACCAAAATGCCGGTTAGCGGCTCCAAGTTGTCGGGCAGCATCACCAAGCTGCCGGCAAATAATACAGGACCCGCCCAACCGCCTCCCTTTGAAGAAATCATCATAAGGAAGAGAGGTCTTGGTCAGGATATCATTCCCTCCCCGAACCAACCGAAGCGGACGGAGAGCCTTTTCATTCCCGGACAGCCAACTCCGCAAGCTGTCAACAAGGTCAGTACGAACCAGGTCAGTATCGGGTGATTTGAAGAATTGAGTGAGGTTGTTTACATTTCACGCTTTGGATTAACTAGAAGTTGATCTATACTGAATGAAAAAGTAATACGTGCGAGTATGCTCTTCCGGTAGAAGAGCATACTCGCTAGGCAAGATATCGGTATGCTTTTTTCATTTTCCGATTCCTTTCGAGATTAGTACCTAAGAATTTCGTACTTTTTTTATTACAAAAAAACCAAACTGGTTATTAGCGTTACAGTTCAAGTTACATTTCTAATTGACATTGGCAATGCTTTAGGCTTTGCCAAACAAACATTGAACACATGGATGGCATAATCTTCCATGATTGGCTCACTCCAAGGCGTTCATTCACCCTTCGAAGCTTGATACCAAACAGTTGTTGGACTACAGTAGGAATGAACTACGATGTCTAACAGACCTTCTTACTGGTCAGTGTCATTTGAATCATCATATGCAGAGACTCGGGCTATCGGAAGACAGTGTGTGTGTCGCCTTTGTTTGGAAAATGATGAAACAGCAAAGCACATGCTTTGTGCCTGCCCCGCTGGGGACCGAAACAGGTTTTTAGAGTTCGGCTGAGCCGTACTCTTTACCATCTGACCTGGAAGACCACTCGCCATACAAACTAATCAGCTTCGTTAAGAAGCTGGGTTTATTTGGTCGAGTGTGAATAGGTGTGAGCCACAATCAACCCTTGCGGGTTGCGGGGGAGGGTCGAATAGACCCACTCACTTTGGACCTAACCAAACCTAACCCTAACATTTCTAATTATATTTGAATACAGTTCAGAAAAGACAATAATATCTCAATTGTCCAATTAGTACCTAGTGTATCTTTCAAAGATAATTGGTATTCTATGATCATTCCTCTGCTGGTTAGAGAGCGGACAATCAGTAAGGAGATGCTTCACAGTCAGATTCACATGGCACGCTCCGCGTGTTGTTTCATCCTTGTTTTGATGCGAATATTCGTGAGTTAAGCGTTTGTGGTCTAACGGTAAACGGGTTAGGATTACTGGATCCGTTCGATGTTTAGGTAATGTAAAGCAAATTCAAATCCAAGATAGAGTGGATGTAAACATTGACATGCCCTACGCACGTGATATTGAAAATCCCAAGAATTGGCCAGGGTCGTATTCAGAACCAACATCTTGTTGATCGCAAATGCTATATCATACTTAGAAAAACTTCTTTATAATAACGAGTGAAATGCACAAGTATTGCAGTTTAACGGGAAAAATGCAGATAATATGTGTAATATAAAAAGATTTTCATTGGATTTTTCACAGCACACTCAAGCATTATATGAAAAGAGACGTAATTATTTCTTTATTGATAATTTTTATTTTATGTAAAATCAAAAGGAATATTGATCAAAATTATTCAAATGGATGAATTTGTCTCTTCATCAGTAGTGTCATTTTCACCAATCTGAATTATCAGTGGCTCGATTTGTGCCTCTATTATGTTATCAAGCTTCCACATCTTTGTTTCGACTTCCGATATCACATGCCGAACACACTTCTCCCATTTCTCCGCTGTGACTCTTTTCAAAGCCTCATCAAAAAGTACTTTGAGATCTGCAAATTCGAACGTGGTGTTATGCTGAGCTACAAAATTCTTTACATCCGCCCATAATAACTCGATGGGATTGAGGTCGCAGTGGTATGGAGGCAGGAGAAGGACAATTTTGTTTTGGCCTGCTGCCATCTCATCGACTATATATTTTTGGTATTCAAGCTTGCGCTCCTTGACAATTTTCAGTAGCTGTACTCTTAGCATTGAGTCTTCAAAACTAATATTCTTTGATCGCAGCCAATTTTGGATTTCAACCTTCTTTGAAGACGTTGTCGGAATTATAATGGTTTGACGATTCTGATTTGTATTCGGTTTGGAAAATGTATGATTTTGTTTATATTCCCGTAAAACATTGTGAATGGAAGCGCAACACACTCTAATTTTATCGGAAACTTTCAATACGACTTCGTGGACAGTCGATGTCGACAGTCAATTTCTTCCATCTCTTTTTTGAACAAATTTAAAATCACTTCTTTCATCTCAACACTCAAATGTCTTTTTTTGGATCGTTTCCTGGCTGGACTCAGAGGATAGCTCACAGTGCCATCAGCAGTGTCTGTACTGGACATCTTGGAAAACAATTTCAAAGAATATACTATAACGCACGCCACACAAACACGCAAACGACTGATTACAACCCTGTGCTGGTACCGAACTCGTACCAAGAAGGCGAATTCACCAATGAACGCTGCCCTTTCCATCTGACACTGGGCGATCTCGTGAACATCACGCTTCGGTTTTGTTTTGTTTTACTCTATCTTGGATTTGGATAGACTTTAGTCCATGGTTTAACGAAACTTTTCACTTCTCTCAGCTGCCAACGGTTTTGGCATGTGACTAGCACTGTCTTTTCAATTGAATTTCGCATGTCGTCTCTCATCGTTTTGGTTATAATTTCATAAATTGCGCTTGTTACTACTACTTTGGCTAGTTCATCAAATTCTTCATTACCTCGACAAATAACTAATTTCCACTAATTGTCAATTCGTTGATGAGACCATTTTCAATATAATTCTTCTGATATTATTGAAAAGGTAGATATTGCTTTATGAATGAATATAAACATAAAACGAACATAAAATAAAGTTACCTTTATTATTAATATTTCTCCATACCGGTATATTTTCTATCAGGACTGTGATAAGTGAATTATTATTTAGACGTATTCAACGATAAATTAACACAACACACAATAACCAAGAAGCACGAAAATAGGAAAGTACTACCTGGATTCGAGAACTAATCTCCAAATGAACAGCTTCCACTTTTCACCATAATGCCATGTTAACAGCTCGAAGACTCACACCAACAAAGGAACTATCCTCTCTTCTCCAGCTTTCTTCTCACGTGTCAAAACAGGAAATCCTGTCCTTGCATTAAGCCCCCCCCCCTCCGTGGAGTAGAACGCCCTGGCAATAGTCTCGGCTTCCTGGTCCTGGAGAGGTATTGCTTCTGGCCATCGTGAAAAGCGATCGACGCAGGTAAGACAATACTTATATCCCTCGGAGTACGGTATAACGATGTGGTCGATATGGACGTGCTCGAACCGTCTAGAAAGTGCTGAGAAGTTGCCGATGGGTGTTGATTCGTGTCGTGAAACCTTGAACTGCTGGCACTCGGTAGTTGCTCTGGCACCAGAACGCGACAGCTCATGGATGACATCAAAGGCTGGTCTGCGAAAGGCGGCTGTCAGGAAGGGCCGCGCCGTCGTCGTGGGGATGTCGCAGCAGATGGCAGCGTTGGATCCAGGGATGTTCACTTGGCGCAGGATCAAGCCAGAGTCATTTCTCTGACGGAATTCCTGGAGCTGCTGGTCCTGTTGCTGAGACGCTGCGAGGGCCTCGAAATCGAGTAGCGCAGTGATGGCATCGACTCGGGATTGCGACAACATTATCCTCACCAGAGATGTGCTGGATATCGGTAGTGAATTGCCCGATGAAATCCAGGTGGCGGAACTGGCGCGGAAAACATTGGTCAGACTTCTGGCGGAAAGCGAAGGTGAGCGGCTTGTGATCGGTCAAGACGGTGGTGTCCTTCTACCATGTGTCGGAAGTACTTCACGGCCTCGTAGATGGCCTGAAGTTTTCGGTCGTAGGCAGAGTATTTGGCCCCGGCGGAGCTCAGCTTCTTCGAGAAGAAACCCAAAGTTTCCCATTCGCCGTTGTATATCTGGTGTAGGCTGCTCCAACGGTGTGGTCCGACTCGTCGCAGACCAAGGAGAGTTTGGCGCCGAGCTTTGGATGGGCAAGGAGTGTTGCGTTGGCAAGCGTGTCCTTGCAAGCAGTGAAGGTAGCTTCAGCAGTGTCATTCCACGTAATTGGCTTCTTCCCTTCGATGTTGCCCTTGAGGAGGTCGTTAAGTGGCGCCTGAGTCCTAGCAGTCCTACGCATGAAACGTCTGTAAAAGTTAATCATACCTAGGAACTGCCGGAGGTCTTTTGCTGTTTCGGGCCATGGATACTCCTGGATTGCGGAGACCTTCTTCGGAAGGAGTTGTGTGCCTTTGCCAGATATAAGGTATCCAAGGAACGCGACGTTTGGCTCTAGAAATTTCGGAGGCTGAAATTTTGTATGTAGGTTCGATTTATGTTGTACGTTTGCAATAAGAAATGATTTTTAAATATTCCAACTGGGACGCCAGCCGTGGAGGGGAAAGACGCGTTTATAAAACAAAATCATTGAGCCATTAACTGACCATGAGTACATTTTTCCTTCATTTGGGAGCATAGACGTTTGAACACTTTCCACCATATCATCAACAGAAGTCAGACAACTATTTTTTTGATTTTCCAAACTATCATTATTGATCTTGATTTTGCTCTTCAATTGAAAGAATGACTGTCTTTAGACAAAATTCCACAACTTCAGTGTTGGGGTGCTTCTTATTTGTGAGCAATATTGTAAAGAGGTGCTGATTTGAGTTGTATAAAACACTAAGAGTTGCGGACAAGTGAATGAATTTTCAGTTCGACTTAGTTTTACAATTTTATGATAAGCTTCTATTGCGATTTCAGCGATATGATTATACCAAGACATGCCATTTTCCATTTTGACCCCTAACAAAATATTCAGCCACCATAACCAGGAATCATAGATCTGTCTGGGGTACTCACTTTCTCCAAGGAAAATGGTCGCTAAATTTTCTAAGAATCAAGTTCTACTTGGCTACTATAAGAAAGTTTAGCTGAGTTCTTTGTTAAGATGTGAACTTTCAGATATTGCATATCTTGCTAGATGTTAACTGACAGCTGATGTTTGGACATCTGAAATCAACTGCTAAGTGTGCTAAGCTATATTCTGGATTCTTGGTCTTCATGAAAAAAATGTCGATAAACTTCAGAAAAACGCTCAGGAACAATGTAGATCCCTATAGAAAGTTAATTTTGAAGGTGCCTGAAAGGAAAAGGGAAAGTATACTTGGGAACACACA